TCCGGCAGTTGTAAGCACTACTGTGTATTTGCCTCGCGGGTGCTTGACCATTTTAACACAACGTGGTGCGATCATCCCCCTTGCGCGGAGCGAGGGTTATCCACCCCGCACAACATTATCTACTCGACCACCATTATGGCTACCGCCAAAAAAAAAAATGAGGTTAAAAAAAAAACGGTAACCTGGTTGCCGAGTTCACGAAGTGAATTGGCTTGTTTTACAACGTCGTTGCCAAGCGACGAAAACCCAATCCCGATGGCAAACACCGGGGGGGGCGGCTTGTTTTACAACGTCGTTGCCAAGCGACGAAAACCCAACCCCGATGGCAAACACCGGGGGGGGCGGCTTGTTTTACAACGTCGTTGCCAAGCGACGAAAACCCAACCCCGATGGCAAACACCGGGGGGGGCGGCTTGTTTTACAACGTCGTTGCCAAGCGACGAAAACCCAACCCCGATGGCAAACACCGGGGGGGGCGGCTTGTTTTACAACGTCGTTGCCAAGCGACGAAAACCCAACCCCGATGGCAAACACCGGGGGGGGCGGCTTGTTTTACAACGTCGTTGCCAAGCGACGAAAACCCAACCCCGATGGCAAACACCGGGGGGGGCGGCTTGTTTTACAACGTCGTTGCCAAGCGACGAAAACCCAACCCCGATGGCAAACACCGGGGGGGGCGGCTTGTTTTACAACGTCGTTGCCAAGCGACGAAAACCCAACCCCGATGGCAAACACCGGGGGGGGCGGCTTGTTTTACAACGTCGTTGCCAAGCGACGAAAACCCAACCCCGATGGCAAACACCGGGGGGGGCGGCTTGTTTTACAACGTCGTTGCCAAGCGACGAAAACCCAACCCCGATGGCAAACACCGGGGGGGGCGGCTTGTTTTACAACGTCGTTGCCAAGCGACGAAAACCCAACCCCGATGGCAAACACCGGGGGGGGCGGCTTGTTTTACAACGTCGTTGCCAAGCGACGAAAACCCAACCCCGATGGCAAACACCGGGGGGGGCGGCTTGTTTTACAACGTCGTTGCCAAGCGACGAAAACCCAACCCCGATGGCAAACACCGGGGGGGGCGGCTTGTTTTACAACGTCGTTGCCAAGCGACGAAAACCCAACCCCGATGGCAAACACCGGGGGGGGCGGCTTGTTTTACAACGTCGTTGCCAAGCGACGAAAACCCAACCCCGATGGCAAACACCGGGGGGGGCGGCTTGTTTTACAACGTCGTTGCCAAGCGACGAAAACCCAACCCCGATGGCAAACACCGGGGGGGGCGGCTTGTTTTACAACGTCGTTGCCAAGCGACGAAAACCCAACCCCGATGGCAAACACCGGGGGGGGCGGCTTGTTTTACAACGTCGTTGCCAAGCGACGAAAACCCAACCCCGATGGCAAACACCGGGGGGGGCGGCTTGTTTTACAACGTCGTTGCCAAGCGACGAAAACCCAACCCCGATGGCAAACACCGGGGGGGGCGGCTTGTTTTACAACGTCGTTGCCAAGCGACGAAAACCCAACCCCGATGGCAAACACCGGGGGGGGCGGCTTGTTTTACAACGTCGTTGCCAAGCGACGAAAACCCAACCCCGATGGCAAACACCGGGGGGGGCGGCTTGTTTTACAACGTCGTTGCCAAGCGACGAAAACCCAACCCCGATGGCAAACACCGGGGGGGGCGGCTTGTTTTACAACGTCGTTGCCAAGCGACGAAAACCCAACCCCGATGGCAAACACCGGGGGGGGCGGCTTGTTTTACAACGTCGTTGCCAAGCGACGAAAACCCAACCCCGATGGCAAACACCGGGGGGGGCGGCTTGTTTTACAACGTCGTTGCCAAGCGACGAAAACCCAACCCCGATGGCAAACACCGGGGGGGGCGGCTTGTTTTACAACGTCGTTGCCAAGCGACGAAAACCCAACCCCGATGGCAAACACCGGGGGGGGCGGCTTGTTTTACAACGTCGTTGCCAAGCGACGAAAACCCAACCCCGATGGCAAACACCGGGGGGGGCGGCTTGTTTTACAACGTCGTTGCCAAGCGACGAAAACCCAACCCCGATGGCAAACACCGGGGGGGGCGGCTTGTTTTACAACGTCGTTGCCAAGCGACGAAAACCCAACCCCGATGGCAAACACCGGGGGGGGCGGCTTGTTTTACAACGTCGTTGCCAAGCGACGAAAACCCAACCCCGATGGCAAACACCGGGGGGGGCGGCTTGTTTTACAACGTCGTTGCCAAGCGACGAAAACCCAACCCCGATGGCAAACACCGGGGGGGGCGGCTTGTTTTACAACGTCGTTGCCAAGCGACGAAAACCCAACCCCGATGGCAAACACCGGGGGGGGCGGCTTGTTTTACAACGTCGTTGCCAAGCGACGAAAACCCAACCCCGATGGCAAACACCGGGGGGGGCGGCTTGTTTTACAACGTCGTTGCCAAGCGACGAAAACCCAACCCCGATGGCAAACACCGGGGGGGGCGGCTTGTTTTACAACGTCGTTGCCAAGCGACGAAAACCCAACCCCGATGGCAAACACCGGGGGGGGCGGCTTGTTTTACAACGTCGTTGCCAAGCGACGAAAACCCAACCCCGATGGCAAACACCGGGGGGGGCGGCTTGTTTTACAACGTCGTTGCCAAGCGACGAAAACCCAACCCCGATGGCAAACACCGGGGGGGGCGGCTTGTTTTACAACGTCGTTGCCAAGCGACGAAAACCCAACCCCGATGGCAAACACCGGGGGGGGCGGCTTGTTTTACAACGTCGTTGCCAAGCGACGAAAACCCAACCCCGATGGCAAACACCGGGGGGGGCGGCTTGTTTTACAACGTCGTTGCCAAGCGACGAAAACCCAACCAACCCCGATGGCAAACACCGGGGGGGGCAGGGGTGGAATATATTTCACTCTACTCAATTTGTTCGGTTTTTTCCTTTGCTTCTTGTCGGAGTTTTTGCCTGCAACGAACACGACGGGCGGAGGGAATAGGCTCAATCCAACCATGCGCCAGTTTTTCGCTCTTGAGGCATCGCGTTCTGTTCGATCGACAGTCAATTTTTCATTCCAAAAGGTCAAATAGCACGCTTTGGCGGCAACAACAACAACAACAACAACAGACTCTGGGGATAGAGTGAACTACAAGAACGAGCTCACCTCCGATAGTCGCGTTCTTCACGTGGACGTGCCCGACACAGGTGCATCCCTCGCCCGCCTTTGTGCAGGAACACCCGCTTCGTGGCAAGAGTTTGGTGAAGATATGAACATCGAATACACGTGACACAGGAAGAGTAGTAGGTCGTAAGGGTTTCAATGGAAAGTAAGGGAAAACAACAACAACGACGACGACAACAACAACAACAACAACAACAACGACAACAACAACAACAGAAACAGAAACGCCTGCAACGAACTCGACGGGCGGGGGGAATAGGCTCAATCCAACCGTGCACCAGTTGCTCGCTCTTAAGGCATCGCGTTCTGTTCGGTTGCAAAGGATGTAGCAAGTCCTGAATCGTCTTCCTCCGATCCTCCCTGGAGTGCCCGAGATCCGTGGGACGACGAGTGAAAGCCGGGATGCAATAGCACCAAATACACGGAGAGGGGAGAGGGTTAGTTTCAGGAAGAATATTTTCACGCAATACAGCAACACAAGTCGAGGATACACTCATGGCACCATCTTACGGTGACACTCACTCATGACCAAAACACAAGTCGAGAATACACAAGCATACGGTCCCACCTCTAACGATGGCACCATCAGGAAGGACATTAAGCGTATATTGAAAGTCATACAGAGGAAGGCGTCGTCGCTGGCCAAGAAAACCTCAAGTGAATCAAGGAAGAAATACAGCTTGTAACAGTTCATTATGGCTGAGAAATGTATCGTTTTGTTCGCGAACTCGGATTTGTTCGGCAAATGGGCAGCGCGAAATACCGTTCACTCACGGAAGAAGTCCTTCACTGGGATCGTCGAAATAGATGAGCTCCTGCGAAAGGTAAATATACTTCCACCTTACGTCTCTCAGCTGGAACTCACACCGGAAGAAAAGAGCCTTCCAAGGAAAAGACGTCGAGAAGCCTTGGCAGCAAAGTGCGAGAAGAGCATCAGAGTGAACGCAAGCGATCTTATCGATCTCATGGTTGCAATCATTAGATATTCTAGAGCACACTACTTCGAATTGGCGTGCGCGTCATCACTTGCCTCGGGGAGGTCGCTGCCAGAACTTATTGGTCCTACTGCTGGCCAATTTTCGCCCAGTAATCACGGCACTCACGAGGTAGATGTCAAGGCTGGTGGAGGAAGCTGTCGGATACCAATACTATGCGAATACGAACACGTTATGGGGGGTGTCAATCGGTTGCGCGGAATGAAAGATACATGCCGCCTAACGCCCGCCGAGGTAAACCATCGATTTAGTAAATCAGTTAATTTGTACGCCAAAAAATTGCTTCCTGAAGAAGTCGGGTTCCGTGTATTCAGCGGTTTGAAGACGCTCCATGTCGTGATTAGTCATAACGTATTCACGGGCAACGAGTTTGATTTGGGTGAATGGGTAAAAGTTGCACGCGGTGGCCCTGGTTCGCAGGCCTTAAACCACAAGTGTTCGGTTGTCAAAGTAGAACGGATCAACGACGATAATATAATGCAGTGGACGGTGTGACTTCAATCCACTAACATTTTCGTCGTCGATGTCCTTCCTTTCTCAGTGACTGTGCAAAGACTGTGACTCGTTGGATTTGTGTTGTGCGCGCACACACACACTAAGTTTTCACGCAATGTTCACCAACAATTCATTTTTCACACGGTTTTCACACAATGTTTACCGAATTTCCAATTTTCACACAGTGTTCACGCAATGTTCACCGATATCTTGTGTATGAAACAAAATGTTCAAACACGTCCTTTTGGCTGAGACTACCACCCCGGGAGAAACACCTTTCTTTTCTCTATTTTGATCGGGGCATTGTGTTGCACAAACACCCTGTTTTCACACGAACACACACATAGAAGGAGGATTCCCAAAACGAGAATAACAGCTTTGGGGCTACCCCGGTAGAGCCAGTGCACACTGCATCTACCGGCCTAAAATCCACGCAATGGAAAAATTGATGACAAGATATGTTTCAAACTCTCTCTCTCTATATATATATATATATATATCTGAGTCTCTCTTCGCTTCGTCTCGCTGTCTCTCTCGCTGTCTCTATTTGTCTCTAGACTTGTGCATGTATCGTGATGTTGACGCCGAGGGCGACCAACCCCACAAGCGAAACACAAGCAACAACCCTAACTTTTATCGTACACTAGACTATTCACTTCCTCCTTGTCGTGATGAAACAACACAGTCACCTGCGAAAAGTCCTCGCCACCGCCGACGTCGTCGCCTTCTTTCACGCGGGTGTTTTTCTTAAGGCGTGGGCGACCTTGTTCAGATACCTGGGTTGTTTCGAGTGCACGCTGTACACTACCCCGTCCTTGGTAACCGTGGCACCAGGGGCGGATCTGCACCAACCCTTGTCCGCCCAGTGCTTCTCCTCTTTGACGAAAACAATCTTCGTGGCCTCGTTATAGATCCCTCTTGCCACGCCTGGATGGCCCCCGTTGATTCGGTGAACCCCGGGAAGCTGCCCTCACTCCTGAGTGCAACCGTCCTTCGCGCAGATCAACGCCACGCCGGGAGCAACCTCGACGAAAGGTTCAAAGGCGGCTTCACTACCGTTTTTATTCCCGCTTGATCGCCCCCCTCCTTCCCCCTTTTTGTCCCTGTCCCCATCTTGGCCTACGGAGGGGGGGGGAGGCAGTTAACGAATCGTACAAGAAAATGAAAAAGAAAGAGTGGACGAACACAAGGAAGAAAACGGCGACACCATCCAATCGTGGTGAGCTTACGCCAGGATTGATACCAACGGCATGTTGAGAATGTTTCCACCCAATACAACAACAGAAACAGAAACGCCTGCAACGAACACGACGGGCGGGGGGAATAGGCTCAATCCAACCATGCACCAGTTGCTCGCTCTTAAGGC